GAGCTGCTGGACGGCAGTGCTGCACGCTGCCGGCTCCCCTGTCCCCATCACCCTGAGGAGCTGTGCAGCGCTGGGGGTGCTCGGGGCACGCACACAGGGGCTGTCGTAGAGCTCTGCCGTGGTGATGTTCTCCTCGTATCCCCTGGGGTAGCAGGGGTGTGAGATCTGTGCGGTGGATGGGCTGGCCTGCAGGGAGCAGGAGCGTTAGCATCACCCTGGCACTGAGGATGGGAATGGAAAGGAAAGAAGCAGCCCACAGACAGCGCCTGTTCCCAGCATGCCCAGCATGTCCCAGCAGGACACCAGCATGCTGGCACCACCATCCATGGGGGCTCATCCATGGGGTGCGGGCACAGAATTGTGGGGACAAACATGGCACAACCACACTGTGGTCAGGGATCAGTTGCATGCTCAAGGCCTTGGAGATTTGCAACCTGTGCCGAGCATGGACCCATTTTGCCCCTCTCTTCCTTTGTAGGGTCACCAGACTCAGGGGAGAGCCGTGGCTGAGAAGCCATTTAAGCAAAACCAAAACTGATTTCTCTTTGCAACATGCTCTGGACATGGTCTTTTGCCCATTCCAACCAGCACAAGCCAGCACTGAGCCCTCACCCCACAGCCCAGTTATAGACATGGAGGTCCCCCTGTGCAGCAACACCACCTTTCCCTCTCCCATGCCCATCCCTACTGCTGAAGACCAGCATGTTCTGATTTCTACCCGTAAAACCAACCTATTCATTATCACTGTGGTGCTAAAAAATCTTGCTGGGTGTTCCTTCCAGCCCCCTGAATGAGGGTGGGGAACAGAGCCCCTGCATCAGGACAGGGATGGAGATCCAGGGCCACTGTCCCAGGGCACCCACCATCCCGGCAGTGCCTGTGGCCAGGAATCCTGCTTTGCGGTGTCCATCTCCATCTCGGTACAGTCCTGTACAGTCTCAGTACAGGTTCTTGGATGTTGGGACTGCCCAGGGCTGCCTCCTGCCATGGTGGCCCTGTTGTATCCATCATCCTCACTGGGGCTTACACAAAGGCACCCAGCCCAGCAGCCCTGACACCCAGTGGGTGCTGCCCACCAAGCTCCGTAAGATCAGGGTTCAGGCTGCAGTAGAGGAGCACAAGCTGGGGGCAGTTACCTGGTGTAAGGAAGCCATCAGCATCTTCAGGGCTTGCTTTTGCCCGTAGCAGAGGTAGCTGTGGGTGTAGATGGAATAGTTGGTCCCGTACAGCCTGAGGAGGGCTCCTGTGCTGCTGTCCTCTATGGTGGTCCCAGGAAGGAACGTGATCTGGGTTGAAGCCCCACCAGGGTTGAAGCCCCACCAAGGTCCAGAGCTCCAACCACATCCTCTGCTGGCAGGTGGGTCCATGAGCCTGTGAGGGAGCACTGCCCCGCACCAGGAGTCACCCACTGGGACCTGCATGGGCGTACTGGGACAGGGTGCCCAGAGAAGCTGTGGCTGCCCCATCCCTGGCAGTGTTCAAGGCCAGGTTAGACACAGGGGCTTGGAGCAACCTGCTCTCGTGGAAGGTGTCCCTGCCCATAGCAGGGATTGGAACCAGATGAGCTTTTAAGGTCCCTTCCAACTCAAACCAATCTGGGATTCTATGATCCACCTAAGGGGCTGCTGGTGCTGGTGTGGGCTCTGGGCTTTGCCCATGGGCACAGCGAGCGTCTCTCTTGGACACCCCGTAGGCTGCAGATGTGGATTCTCTGCCCACCCCCGTGGCCTCTGGGGCAGCCCCAACCGTGCCCTCAGCCCCAACCAGCCCCTGCCCAGGCTCCAGTGCAGAAGCACGTGGTGGGAAGGGTGGAGGTGCTGGCTCTGGGCTGTGCTGTACCTCAGCAGCCGCATGCCCGCTGTGGCCCCCAGGTAGGTGGGGGTCTCCCGCTGCTGCTCTGCCGGGATGATCTCCATGGCCTTGTCCAGGCAGGGTTTCAGGCTGGCTCCAGCCCCAGTGGGGTCGTCAGCATAGCTGGAGATGCCGGGTCCTGCAGGAGAGCACCGTGTGATGGAGCCAGATCAGTGACACCCAGGAGGGACGGGACAGCAGGGACACATACAGCCCTTCCCCACGCCCAGGTTGCTCTCTGGACCAACTTGGCAGATGTCCTGGTCACAGCTCCAGACACTGCTGTGTTTGGTGCCATAGAGATACCAAAATGAAAACTGCTGACCCAGGAAGCCTTTAGGAACCGCATAGAGAAAAACAGGAGAACTGCAGTCACGGTTAGGGATTTCTGCAGAGCTTTTAGGAGGCCCCATGGGTACATGAGACTGCATGTAGGGACAAGACAAGGGTGATTTAAACTGACAGAGGATAGATTTGGATTAGATCCTTTACAGTGAGGGTAGTGAGGCACTGGAACAGATTGCCCAAAGAAGTTGTGCATGCTCCCGCCCTGGCAGTGTTCAAGGCCAGGTTTGAGACAGGGGCTTGGAGCAACCTGCTCTAGTGAAAGGTGTCCCTGCTCGTGGCAGCGGTTGGAACTGGATGAGCTTTAAGATCCCTTCCAACACAAACCAGTCTGGGATTCTAGCTTATTGAAGAAGCTGTGAAGAGATGTTGTGGGAAGAAGAGCTGAGGAAGCAGTTACATGGGGGAGGAGCAAACTCTGCCCATACAGCATCTGAAGTTGTGAGTTGTAGCAAAACCACCATCTGCAAGATGGGACTTGGCTCCAGGCACCACACTAACGGGGCCAGGATCCTCACCCACCTCTGCATCAACCAGTTACTGTGGGGCTCCCTGTGGTGCAGGCTCTCAACACTTTTCTTTGGTTCTCCCATCAGGCCACCTCCTTTCTCCCAGCACAGGCCAAAAGACTTGGCTCACCAGCGATGCTGTGAGAGTCTGGGACAGCGATGCAGAAGCCTGGGAGAGAGGGACAGAGACATCCTGGCACTCACCAGCTGCGGTGCAGGCCTCCACCTGGGACACGATGCCAGTGCCGTTCTCCTTGTCCACAGGCCACCAGTAGATGTAGAGAGCCGTGTGCATGGAGCCAGCATCAAACACCAGCCCATACTGGGGGCAGAGGGGACATGGTCACAGTGCGCTTGGGCTGTACCGGGTCCCACAGGGGCTTCTGAGGCTGCTGCTCTCAGTTCCTACGAGTGAGCAGCACATGCCTGTGTGCCCAACCTCCCTCCACCTCCAAGCCCCCTGATTTAGCCATTCAAAGGAGGTGCAGCTCAGGAAGGAAAGACCTGCAGGTCAGCAGGGTGATCTGCAGGGCAGGAAGGCATCCAGGAATCCATCCCAGGGCTGCTCCCACACCTTTGGGAATAGAAACTCTCGCAGGCCCTGACTGTTTAACAGCCAGTAGAAAGCGACAGGAGAGAGAGCTGAAACCTCACCAGGTGACCAAGATGGCTGAAAAGAGGAGAGGAATGGCCTGGGGTGGCAGATGGAGCAGCTCCCAGGAGGGCTGTTCTTCCATCCTTAGCAAGGAGCCAGGACCATGACTGAGGGGGTGACTGATCTAACTTGATCAAGTTAAGCTCTGATAGGGCTGGCTATAGGAAGACTTGCAAGCAGGGAGGAGAGCAGTGCTGCTGGAGAGGTGAGAGGTGGGAAGGAGCTGAAGGTCCCACGAGGCACCTACTTTGTTCCTGCCAGGAAGGGCAGCATCCTTCGCCGGGGTCAGGAGCAGGAGGAAGGCGGCCACCCCCAGCGCTCCCAGCACGGCC